TTCTCAAGTTCATGCATAAATCACTAAATCAATTGAAAGGTGATCAAGCTCTCAATGCATTAAGTTCAATAATATAAACTCATCATGCAAATAACTAATAAATCTTAAATTAAACTAACAAAAACAGTCACATAATCCAAAAATTAAAATCCATCCATCCCTAGTTCTAAGAAATCTAGCCACACATATTTATGTTCTCAACAGCCATAAATAGGAAAACCCAACAGAAAATCATGATAAAAATCAAGTAAGAATCAACAAAACCCGTCCCGATGGAGAGCAAGTCAAACTGCAATTTTGCAATGAGGAGTGGCGGCGTTGGCTCTTCTGTAAACAGATTTGCGATCCTCCCTTGTGTACCACGAACAGATTTGGTTGCCCTCTCTTGTGCAGACGCGAACAGCTTTGGGTGGCTGCCCGTGTCTTCTGCTTGTGAATAGCAGATTTGGCTCTCTCTGTGTCTTGAGATTTAGGCGGCTGCGTCCTTCCTTCTCAATGTGCAGAGCAATTTCGAGTCCCTCCCTTCTCTGGTGAACAACAGATGTGGGCGGCTGGGTGCTCTTTTCCTCTTGTACAGAACCCTCTCCTGCGTCTGTGTGGCTCTCTCCGTCTCTCTCTGTCTCCTCTGTCTTCTGCCGAGTAGCCTCTATATATATCAAGAAATTAGAACCTAGAACCCTTATTTCCTTTAACCCTAGCAGACATAGGTTATGGGCTTTGCTTTGGGCCTGGACTGCAATTGGCCCACACTTAAAAAACATAAACCCAGTCTCTTTATTTCTGCACTGTGTTGTCAAAACCGTCGCTTTCAATTTCAATTCTGTATTGATACAGAAGGAACTGGGTTGAGCTCATAAAACATCAATTGTAGCTCTGCCTCTTAGCTTTCCAACGCCTAAAGAATCAACTCAATCCGATGCCTAGAGAAAAAGATATGGTTAAATTACTGCAGCATGTGTAAATTATCACTTATTGCAAAATTAATTCCTATCTTAATTTTCACCCACAAATAATGAATTTAATATAAACAAAAGGTGAAACTAAGTTCCAAAAGACCCATAAATTTAATTCTAAGCTCAAAAAGGGTAGATAAATCCATATAAAAATTAAACTCATCATTCATCTTATCCTTTGCGAGATGTGGTCTTCATCTCTCCTTTTTCCTTAGATGTGGTCTTCATCTAGGATGACTTTTAAGATGCGGTCTTCATCTTATCCTTTGCGAGATGCAGTCTTCATCTCTCCTTCTTCCTCAGATGCGGTCTTCATCTAGAACGTGACTTCTAAGATGCGGTCTTCATCTTATCCTTTGCGAGATGCGATCTTCATCTCTCCTTCTTCCTCAAATGTGGTCTTCATCTAGGACATGGCTTCTAAGATGCAGTCTTCATCTCTCTTTCTCTCTCTTTTCCTTTTTTTTTTTTTTTTTTGAGATGCAAACTTCATCTTTTCCAATACTTCATCTTTTCCAATTGGCAATGATCATCTTGCTAGCTTAAGTGCTTTCCTGAACACTAGTCAGCTTCAAATTTTCCTGTGATTATCACAAATCTTCAATGTATCAAAGGCAATATTGAATAAAGCAAAAATATTAAATGAAGCATCAAGATTTTGACTATTTAATGTTCCCAATAAAGGAATGAAAGATTAATATGGAAAGGAATTTTTGTAATTATGACATAATGAATCAGGTATGAAGAAAGTTTTGATACATATGGCAACTCAAAGGTATGAAAAGCTTGCTGAAGAATTCTTCCATAATAGTGATATCATCCCTTCCTTAACACATTGAAATGACGTCCATTTTTATGCTAAGGTCAATGACTTAATCTTAGTTTCCCTTTCATGGATCACTGCCATGCTAAAAACTTCCCTCTTGATTATCTCCTTACATCTGATCTTCTTGCTGTCATTGGCCTAAGTTGCTTTTTCAGGTTTTCAATTTAGACCTTGCCCCCACTTTCTCTCTTTTCTTCTTCTTCTTCTTCTTCTTTTTTTTTTTTGGTTCATAGATGAGCAAGCTACAAATCCTCTGATAAGGAATTTAAATTGGCTTGTATCGTGGTTTAGGGTTCGGCTAATTAGAAAGAAAGGATAAAATGGCTCAAAGTTCCCTTTTCCCATTAAACCCCTCGCTAACACTCTTCTCACCCCAGGTTCTTGATGTAGGACAATTTAGAAAGAAAATCGTCAGGCTCTTATAAGTTAGACGATTGCCTTTTCTTTTGGCTCAAAAAGGGTTTCTAGGGATAATTTTCTTGTTCAATGGGTAAAGAAGAATAGCCTTTCGTCATCGGATTCTTTTCTTACTCATCATGAACGCTTTTCTTTATTTTGCCTAGACCGCCCTATTGGGTTTTCAACCTAGCTCTCTTTTCCTTTTCTTTTCTTTTTTTTTTTTTTTTTTACACATAGTATTTCTTGACAACATCTGCATTCACCGGATGTGGGAGATTATCCCCATTAGGATAAGCCAATAATAAAGCTCCTCCTGAAAAAGCCGCTTTCACAATGTAAGGACCATTGTAGTTTGGAGCGAACTTTCCCCTTGGATCCCTCTCATTGGGCAAGACTTTCTTCAAAACAACATCTCCTTCTTGAAACCTTCAAGGCCTGACCTTCTTATTATATGCTGCCGCCATTCTTTTCTTATAACATTGTCCATGACAAAGTGCAACTAGTCTCTTCTCATCAAGGAGATTAAGATAATCTAATTGTTTCTTAATCAACTTTGATTCTTCCAATTCTGCTTCAGCTAGAACCCTCAAAGATGGTATCTCAACTTCAACTGGTAAAACTGCCTCCATACCATAAACCAAAGAATAAGGTGTTGCTCCGGTAGAAGTTCGAACAGATGTTCTATAAGCATGGAGAGCAAAAGGTAGCATTTCATGCCAATCCTTGTAAGTTACTGTCATCTTTGCAAGGATCTTCTTGATATTTTTGTTTGCAACTTCCACAGCTCCATTCATCTTAGGCCGATAAGGTGTAGAATTTAAATGTTGAATCTTGTGCTACTTACAAATTGATGCCATCAAAGAATTATTAAGATTCTTTGCATTATCAGTGATGATTGTTTCTAGTTGACCATATCTGCAAATGATCTCCCTTTGAATAAACAGTGCCACCACTTTATTTTTCACATTTGCAGATGAAGCAGCCTCTACCCATTTGGAAAAATAATCAATTGCAACCAGAATAAACTGATGACCATTTGAAGCTTTTGGATTAATGGGTCCAATAACGTCAATTCCCCACATAGAAAATGGCCAAGGAGCTACCATATTATGCAATGGAAATGGAGGAGCTTTTATCTGATCTGCATAGATTTCACATTTGTGACATTTCCTCACATAATCAATACAATCTGTCTCCATCTTCAACCAGAAATATCCTGCTCTAAGTATCTTTCTAGCTAGCATATGCCCATTAGCATGAGTTCCACATATTCCTTTATGAACTTCCACCATGATTCTTTTTGCCTCAATAGCATTAACACACCTTAACAATGTCATATCTGCAGAGCGCTTGTATAAGGTGTCCCCACTTAAGAAGTAAGACCTGGCTATTCTTCGAATTGTGTTTTTATCAACATCAATTACATGAACTGGATATTGATTATGTAAGATATATTGTTTGATGTCATAGTACCAAGGTTGGCCATCTATTTCTTGCCCAATCTCCATGCAATAAGCAGGGTTTTTATGCACATCAATCATAAATGGTTGAATTTGGTCTTCCTTTGATATTTGCACCATGGAGGCCAAAGTTGCTAAGGCATCCGCAAATTTATTCTTTGATCGAGGCATGTATTCTAAAGAGATAAATCTGAACTTCTTAGTTTGAGAATCAAGGTATTGGTAATAAGGCAATAACTTCATGTCTTTTGTCTTCCATTCTCCCTTGATTTGAAATATGATTAGGGATGAATCTCCATAAACTTCAAGATCCCTAATATTCATATCAAGAGCTGCTTGTAGACCCATGATGCAAGCTTCATATTCAGTGATGTTATTGGTGAAAGAAAAATCAAGCTTCACTGCAAACGGAAAATGTTCTCCTTTAGGTGAGACGAGAACTAACCCTACTCCATTTCCGTTTTGATTAGCAGCTCCATCAAAATACATCTTCCAATTAGAAGTTTCACAATTGCTTTCTTCAATTGCCATGATATCCTCATCAGGAAACTCCTAATCAACTGGTTGATAATCTTCAACTGCATTTTCTGCAAGATGATCTGCAATGACTGACCTTTTATTGCCTTTTGAGTCATGTAAATAATCTCAAACTCTAATAACAACATGTGCCATTGAGCAATTCTTCCAGATAAAGAAGGCTTCTCAAATATATATTTGATGGGATCCATTCGAGATATTAGCCATGTAGTATTGGAAAGCATATAATGACAAAGCTTCTTAGCAATCCAAGCCAATGCGCAACATGTCTTCTCCATAGATGAATACCTACTTTCACAATCATTGAACTTTTTGCTAATATAATAAATAGCCTGCTCCCTTATGCCAGAATCATCATGTTGAGCCAAAACAACCCCCATAGAACCTTCTAGCACAGTTATATAGAGAATTAATGGTCTTCCATCCACAGGTGGCACAAGAATTGGTGGACTTTTTAAATATCGCTTAATTTTGTCAAAAGCTTCTTGGCATTGATCATCCCACACACCAAGATTATTCTTCTTTAACAATCGGAAGATTGGATCACAAATAGTTATCATTTGGGCAATGAATCTACTGATATAGTTTAGCCTACCCAAGAAACTGCGCACCTCTTTTTGTGTTTTTGGTGGAGGCATATCTTTAATAGCTTTAATCTTGGCAGGGTCTATCTCAATTCCTCTTCTACTAACAATAAACCCTAGGAGCTTGCCAAATGTTACCCCAAAAGTGCATTTTGTTGGATTGAGTCTCAGCTGATGCTTCCTTAATCTCTTAAACACGATTTTAAGATTCATCAAATGATTTTCATTTTCTCCAGACCTTATTATCATGTCATCTACATAAACCTCAATGATTTTGTGAATGAGGTCATGTAACAATGTAATCATTGCTCTTTGATAAGTTGCCCTCGCATTTTTCAATCCAAATGACATTACCTTGTAGCAAAAGGTGCCCCACAAAGTGATAAACGTGGTTTTGATCTTGTCTTCCTCCTTTATCTTGATCCGATTATAACCAGAATAATCATCCACAAATGAAAATTTAACACTTTTGGTAGCATTGTCAACCAACAACTGGATATGGGGCAAAGGAAAGTCATCTTTTGGGCTTGCTTTGTTCAAATCTCTATAATCCACACACATTCTGACTTTTTCATCCTTCTTTGGCATAGGAACAATGTTTGCAACCCATTGGGGGTACATGGCTACTTCGATGAACCCTGCATCTAACAGCTTCTTTACTTCCTCTTTGATTTTCAACAACATTTCTGGCTTCATTCTTCTCAACTTTTGCTTCACCGGTAGACATTCTAGCCTTAGTGGAATTGCATGAACTGCTATCTCCAGATCTAATCCAGGCATATCTTTATAAGACCAAGCAAACACATCTTGAAACTCTTTTAACAAGTCAACAAGAGCTTTTCTTTCATCTGGATGCAACTTCCCATTGATCTTAATCTCCTTTTTATCCTCATCTGTTCCCAAATTAACTATTTATACTTCAGATTGATTAGGCTGCAATTTCGGTTCTTCTTCTTTCAACATGTCAGTCAATTTAGGAAAGGGTTCTAATTCTTCATCATTTTCCACAAAATAAATCGATTCATCAAAACTGTGTAAATTCAGGAATGATATCACTATTTGTAGATTTACTATCAGCAAACCTGGAGATGGAAATTTTGGCTAGCATGAGAAAATTGAATAAGCGAAAGGAAATGAATAGTTTTGCACACAAAGAAAGGGAATGAAAGTAACATTGTTTATTGAAATGAACAAAATGGGAACATTATTTGTCATGCCTACAATGCTTCATAAAATATAAAAGGCTTGTTTTAATCATCTCTTCTCATGGTCACAAGCTCAACCACAAGAAGATTGACACATCTTATGATTTAATGATAGGAACAGGAAGAATCTCTACTGTCCAGTTGTCCAAAGATTCACCCTGAGCAGGCAGAATGACCTTGTCATCATCCCTCCCTTCATCAATGACGCATATGCTTAACTTCTCCAAAGAAGTGTTCAAACCATCATCATTTGTTGAAGCAAAAGATTTGAACAAATCAAAAGTTCCCATATCTTCATCATCTGATGCATCCTCTACGATCACCTCGTTCTTATAAGCAATTGCAACCCAATCAATTCTCAAATTCTCCTTTTTGAGAGTGTCATCCATTGGCTTTGTGTCATATCCACACACAACTTCAGCAAGTTTTGGAAATGTCACTCGAATATGAGGAATATGCAATTGTTCCTCATTTGGTTCTCTTCCTTCTAACTTAGCTCGACGCCTTTCAGCTTTCCTAGTCCTCATCCACACCCAATCCTTTCGAGTGGGCTTACATCCCAAGCCAAACCCCATTGACGTATCAATCACCTCAATTGGTTCCTCAATTCCTTGCAGTCCAATTCCTAAGCCCTTTCCAACCTCAAAATCATTTTCCAACATCACCTTAGCCACTTCTTTACTCACTCTAGAAAGATCTGGTGTTCTCAACACTGTGCCTTCCGCAACATATGTGGTTGAGACAAACTCCATAGAGTGGTAAGTTGCTTCTTGGTTCTGAGAGTCTGCTTTTACATATGGCACAGATGTCGTCTTATGGATAGCATAATCCTTTTCACCATTCACCGTAACCAAAGAGTTGCCTACAATATATTTCAGCTTTTGATGCAAAGTAGAAGGTACTGCACCAGCCATATGAATCCAAGGCCTTCCAAGCAACATATTAAATGTAGGCTCAATATTCATAACTTGAAAAGTTATGTCAAATGTATATGGGCCAATGTTGACTAGTAATTCAATCTCCCCATCTACTTCTTTCCTTGTGCCATCAAAAGCATGAACTATTGTCTTACCAGGCTTAATGTATGACTGGTCCGCCTGAAGTTGATTCAAAACTGATCGAGGAATAACATTCAATGCCGAACCATTATCAATAAGCACTCGTGGCATATGCATATCTTTGCAAAGCACTGAAATATGAAGAGCCTTCACATGCCTTCTTCCATCTTCAGGGACTTCATTATCAGTAAAGTTGATAAAATTTAGTGCTAGGATAGTCCCTATCACATTGTTGAATTTTTCCATATCAATATCCTTTGGCACATGAGCCTCACTCAAGATCTTTAACAAAGCATTTCGGTGAGTCTCTGATGCCAACAAGAGTTGCAAGATAGAGATCTTAGCAGGAGTACGATTAAGTTGCTCTACCACATTGTACTCACTTCTCTTCAAAATGCTAAGGAAATCATTTATCTCCTGCTCTGAAATATACTTCTTGACTTGCTCCTTATGTATTTCCTCAATAATGATTCCTTTTTGCGATTCATTCCCTTTGCATTGACTTTCTCCATAACTACGCCCACTTCTAGTCATAAGAGAGATATCTTCAATAGGGAATTCCTGTATGGAAACATAGGTACGAGTCCCATAATTCCAAGGGGCAGCCTTATAAGAATTGAAGGTTGGTTTTGATGGTGGATAAAGAGTTAAGGGTGGTTGCTGAGATGGTAAGGCTTGGTTGCTTCCTTTCAAAATGAAGGGCTTCCTCACACTTGTCGTAACAATTAGCCCCTTCAATATCAAAGGCTGTCTAGGAGTTGATGACAGTTGATTGGTAATGGTAAGTGCAGTCACCTCATGACCCCTATGAGAGTCTTTCTCAATATTCGAATATTTTATTATCATGTTTATTGTTGGACCATCATGTGTAGGCAAGGGATTTTTAGCAATGTTTGGACCAACAACTTCAGGTTCTGATGCAATTTGCAACTCCTTCATATCTATCAAATCCTGCAGACGGTGCCTTAAAGCTAGACAATTTTCAAGATCATGTCCAACACCTCCACTATGGTATTCACATCTTGCTTGTGGATTGTACCACGTTGGGAATGGTGACTTAACTGGCACCATGGGTACAGGAGTAACAAGACCAACTGCTACCAATTGTCGAAACACTTCAATGTATGATAAAGGAAGTTTGTTGAAATGTCGTCTCACTCTTTCTTGTTGTGGATGATTGATCCCAGAGGCATAGAGTGGCCTTGGCTGACTTGTAAAAATTGGTGGTTGATAAGTTGGAGCTTGGAAAGAATTATTGAATTGCCCTCGAGGGCGCGGCTGATTATTTCTCCCATACGTTTCATAAACTGAGCTAATGGTGCCAATGTCATTTTCCTTCTTTTGATTCTGGCCCACTTTCCTTGAACTAGAAACCCCTGAACTACCATTTTGGTATTGTTCAAGGAGACTCTTCATTGCTTGATAATTAATAATAATCCCTGACTTGATTCCATCTTCCACTTGCTCTCCCACGATAACCAACTGAGTGAAAGTGTAATTTACACAATTCATCGACTTTTCTCGATGAGGCTCTTTAGTTGATTTAATGAATAAATTACTCAGTTCAGCATCAGTTAGTGGCGGTTGAACTCGAGCAGCCAATCCACGCCATCTTTGAGCAAATTCCTTAAAGCTTTCACTCGATTTCTTCTTTGTTCTTTGAAGATCCTCTCTACTAGGAGCTAGTGACGTATTATATTCATACTGCTTCATAAAATTGTAAGTCAAATCATGCCAACTTTTGACCTTGCTTTTGTCTATAGTAGAAAACCAAGCATCTGCAAGACCTGTCAGACTGTCTTGAAAGTAATGTATCATTAGCTTCTCATCATTGGCATAAAGAGCCATCTTCCTACAAGACATTGTCAAGTGGGCATAAGGACAACCAGTGCCATTGTACTTATCAAACTCAAGCAATTTAAACTTATGGGGCAATTGAATGTTTTGGAAAAAGCACAAAGATGAGATGTCAACCAGTTTATTGGTTTGGACACCTTGCATCGATTTTAGTGTTTCCTCCATCAACTGCACCTTCGCTTTAATTGCCTTGTCTTCATCCTCTGTGATTGACTTGACAACTTGAATCTCTTCTTGACCATTAGACTGAACTGTAGCAACACCATCATTTAAAACAAATGGTTTTGTCCCAAAAGTTCCACGAATAATTGGATCAGGAGGGCCAGATGACATAGGCTCTTTCCCAAGAGTTAAAGCAGATGTGGCCACAGGGAGATTTGCCACCAGAACATTTCCTTCAAATAAAGGATTTGTTGTCAAAGGTGCCCTTGTGACTAAGGTTGCTTGAAGAGATTGGAAGGAAGCCATCAATTCCTTCAAAGTATTTTCCATATTTTAAACACGATTTTCTAGAGCTACCTTCTCTAAATTAGCTTCGTCAGCCATCTTCCTTGCAAGAGCTCTAGTGCGAATAGGTGAACGAACTCTTGGATAATTCTTTTTAGGACCAATCTTTCAACACCTAAAAAATATGAGCATTATTAACAAATTATGAATTTAACTAATTGGTAGTTTAAAAGATAAGTTCCCAAAATTCCCATTAATGAGTAATCCTAACTTCTAATTATTTATTTTTATTTTTACACATGGATTCTTCATTGTCAAGAACAACTTCAGCCCTTTGTATGTAAAGGAAATGAGAAATTAGAGCCAAGCAATTGTCACGCCAGCCAGAAACATGAGGAGATTGCCCCCTTCATGATCTTTTAGAATTTTTTTTTAAGTTAAAAAAAAGAAATAATAATAATGAGGAGATTGCCTCCTTCATATCTTTCCCTTTTTTTATTGAGGAACTTGCTTTTTCTCAACAAATAAAATTCAAGAGAATGTGAAATTTGACTTCAAACTTTATTCTTTTATTTAAAATTTCAAATATAACAACTAGTAGATAACAATCATAAATTTTCACTTTTGTTTGTTTTTCCAATACTCTATTGCTTCAAGTTCATGTTCACAATAATCCCTTATCATCCTCGAAAGCCCTCCCACAAAATTTGAAGCCGCATCATGCTAATTTGGTCGAATGGTACGCTCAACCTTCATTGCCTCAGAGTATATTCCATTGACCAAATAGAGCACCTTTCCTCCTTCTCTCTTCAATTGATCAATTGTAGCTAATGCCTCACTCAACTGTCCATTTAAGCTTTTTACCTTTGCTTCCAATCCTCCTATCTTCTCACTTTGATAAAATTGTCGTGTTTGCATTAACGCCAATTTTTCCTTCATTACTTCTTCATTATTTTGAGCTTCCTCAAGTTTTTGCAACAATTGTAATTTATTATCAAGCAAATTCTCCACTTCATTTTCAAAACCCTGCTGCTTGATTATTAGAGTCTTTAAATCGGCACTCTGATCCTTGACTTGATTAAGCTCATCCTCCAACTTTGTTTTTATCACCCATTAAATGATCATTCTGCCTTTCTTCCTTCTGGATGATTCTTCTTAATTTTTTAAGAGTTTGAGCCTGCTTGCCGATTTCTTTCTCTGCCTCTTCTTTTGCAAAAGTTATAGAATTCTTTTCCTTAATCAATTTTTGCTTCTCACCTTCTAGAAAATAAATGTCCATATTTTTCTCTCTAATTTCTTTTTCATGCTTGACCCTTTGAGCACACGACAAACCTTCTAGCTCTGCTATTCTTTTCTTCAAATCAACAATGGTAGCTTCTTTAATGATAGGAATGTCATAAGGGATAACTATGTCTTGAAGCCAAACTTTCCTCCATTCTTCAAACTCAAAAGTGACTGAAATCTTGTTCCTTGAGAAACGAACTTCGCATTGTGACCATACTTCCTTGGCAAAGCCAATTTGATTAATTACTTGAGTATCAAGAGAATAATCAAACCCATATGAAGTGATACCATCTAGCAATGGTTTACTTTGCCTATCACGAAATTGCCTCATCACTAATGCTGAACTATAGCTAATAGCTCCTCGAACGCCCAATAACGGAATCCAGTTATGGCCACGTGGAGGATAAAAGTAATCAGTAGACTTCAACCATGTCACACACTAGACTATGTCTTTGCATCTCAAGTTCAAGAATTGTTGATGCCATTGGTCAGCCATTTTCTTTTCCAATTGATTCTTTTTTTGCAAAATTCCAAACTCCCTAATTGTGGAGACATTTACCTTTGATAAATGTGCATGTATCCATATTGTAAAGAAACTAGCAAAACATGTGAATCTACCCTTGCCATGAGCTCGAATATAGTCAGCATCGCGTAGAGTTTCAGCAATTAAAACCGGAGCAACATTAAGATTTGGATTCTTGATCAACTGCTCGAACATGGCTACAACTGATGAACTAATACTATCCATATTAGTGGGCAAAATAACCATTCCATATATCCCTAAGGCAACAAAATTTAACTGGTCCTCCTCAGAAAGTGAACTTAGATCAAACTTTAATTTGGAATACATCATGTTCCAATTAACTCCGCAAACTTCATTTTTCTTCATAATGCAACCTTCTATGAACTCTAAAGATAAGCTCAAAATCCTTTGTAGCATGGACTGAAATTGCAACTTATTTAATTGAAAGTTAACAAGGTCTGGGACATAAACTTCTGAACTCATTTCTGGGCGACTGAACAATAACTGAAAATATTCTTCAATGGTAGGTACCAACTCAAACTCAGGAAAAACAAAGCAACGAAGATGCGGGACAAAAAATCTTAGGCTTGCCTTAATGATTTCCCAGTCCGGCTCTACTTGCAGCACATCAGCTATTCTACCAAATTTCTTGTCAAACCTCACTTTGTCAAGATTACTTAGACTATTCCAAGCAGCAACCGAGTCTTTTACACAAGGTCTTTTGGTCTGCACAGAGAATCCATCCTTGTGTGACTTGTTCTTCTTGGATAATGGTGGACATTCTAACTCTAAATTCACCCTTTTTCCCTTACTGTTCTTTTTCTCCAAAGAATCCATGTGTAAAATAATCAATTACCTATTGAAAAAAAGAAAAAAAAGAGTTAATGAATGTCATACCTGTTGGTCGAATTCCTCACCTAAGAAACACAAAATCATTGTTTAAAAATAAAATACTCCCAACGTGTCCTATGTATAAGGTTCTTAGACTTTGAAGGTGATTTACTAGGCTGGCCGTCCTAGGGTTAAGTTTTGTCTAAGTCCATTACATGCAGTTTCCTAATGGATCCTATACGATTAGGCTTTTTCAACTGCTAACTTCCATAAGTCAACAATTATTGACTTCCATAAAGTCAACAATTGCCAACTTCTATAGAGTTAACAAGAGGCATTTCATGACCTAATACAGTAGCAGCATTATGACTGTCAGGCCATATTAACCCACAAAATGAACCTAAAAGGGATAAATCTCACTTCACAAAGAAAGCATTGCGCTTTTCATTGCTCCATGAGTTATCAATCTATCTAGAGGTTGGGTTCGCCTCGTCAAGGACAAAAATGATATGCAAGTGAGGTGTGTGAGGGAGCATGTCATAACCCGATTTTTCATTCAGCTTATTTAAACTTTTCATATAAAAAATATATATATTAATCACAAAAATTAATTTAAAAAAAATAAAAAAAATAAAAAAATATGAAAATACGACAATCTCTCTTTTCTTTAACTAATACATCTTCATTTTTCTTTCAGGTGCAAAAAGGGAAAATTCAAGAAGGAAATGGGAAAGGAAACTCGAGAAAGGACTCAATTAAAGGAATCAAAAGTTTAAAGGTGAAATTCACCAAACTCAAACCCAATTACCCAAAACCCAAAGCCTACCAACTACCCAAGCCCAAAATCCCAAAACCAAAAATTACCCAAAAATCCAAAACCAACATTACCCAAACCCAAGCCCAAATACCAAACCCATTTAACCCAAAAAAAAATAATAATAAAAGAACCTCCTTCTTCCATTTTTCTTTTACTTTTCTCTCTCCCGAATCAGCCTCCACCCTCCTCTGCATCAATTTCCAGCTTCCTCTCCCCCCTGCACAGCCCAGATCCTCTGCACCGAGCCATCATCGCCCCCTCGCACGCCCAGCCTAGCTGCACTAGCCCTGCACCTACGCCCGAGCCTTGCACCTACGCCCCTGCTCCCTGCTCTGCGCCCAGATCGCCTGCACCTTCCTGCTGTTGCACGCCTGCGCCCCCTGCACGCCCCTGCCTTGCACTCTGCGCACCGGCAATCATGCCTCCTGCACGCCTACACGCCCTACCTCCTGTGCGCCTGCAACCTCCTCTGCCCAAGCCTAGGTCTGCACTCATCACCCCTCCTCTACCCGAGCTGATCTGCACTCATCACCTATGCCCCAATCGTGCAATCCCCGGCTGCAATGCAATCCTGCAACCCGATCTTGTACCTGCTCTGGTTGTCCGATTCTCCTTGGCACCTT